TCATCGGAGTGGATCTCTCGCTACCGGCCGTAGTACGCTCCATGGCCGGTAGCGACAGTTGTTTTACCGCGGTCGCAACCTTCTGCGAAGAAGTAATCTCGCAGAAGGAGGCGCCGGAGAAGGCCCGGGAGGACGACCTCCACTCGGACCCGATCCGCCGCCGGCGAACCGGGCGGCGGAGGCGCGCCTATCACCGCCTCATGCCGCCCTGAGTGTGGCCGCGGGTGGACGGAGTGGGTTTCCCCTCCACCCGCATTAGTTTGGCCAGCCGCGAGGGGGCGGCGTCCGCGTGTGCCGGACGTCGCCTAAAGAGAGGAAAATTTTGAGACGGAGCCCGCACCAGGAGCGGGCTGGCGCTAGGAGGGGTCCGGATGTCTTAATAACAGCTGTTCCCGGATCCCTCCTGTTACAGGCGCAGAGTGGCACACCGTGTGGTTTTAGTCGGTCAGAGTCCGACACACCACCCCGCCGCAAACCCCGGTGGGGTGACGGTCCGAGGGGATTTCCACACGTTAAAAAAAAAAAAAAAAAAAGGGTTTGTGTCTAGTTTTCCTTCTCTGCAGTGCTGTTGTTCTGCGTAGTTTTTTCCCTTAGTCGGCTCTTACGACACCCACGGGATGAATATAGGTGGTGACACTCTGTATTCTTAATCCGTCACCACACGGACCCAGAAATTCAAAGCAGTAGTTCGTGAGTTAAGCGCATTTAACAAACTCTTCAGCATTATAATATTAGTACAGAAGTATAGATGTTTTCTTTTTTTTATCTTATTTTATTTTATCTTAAGAAGAATCCGTACTTAAAATAAATACATTGACATACTTCTGTTAGAATTTTTATGTAAGTATCCTCTTACACTTTTCTAAAAGTTCACTCACATCACATTTTACAAGATCAGCATTTTACTTAAATAATGGGCTTTCCTCTCCCGATACGACTAGACTTGCAGACTAGACCAACCTTTTTCATGTAAATCACTATATTGGGCTTTGCATTACCTATTTCGTAAAATGTCGGAGCCTTTTATCCATTCAATTGGATTGACTATTAATGTGAAATGCGACTCAAACAAGAATTCAGATAGTCCATGAAAATATTTTCATGGGTCATGCATTTCAAAACTTGCACAAACATTTTTCATAAATCGTAGTGACATAAATCGTTAGAAACAATTTCTTAATAATTTTACTTGAGTTTTAATCTTTAATCTCCTTACAATAATTGTAAGTAATTACTCATACTACAGCTCGCCTGGCTGACGAATTTTTGAATGTCTTGTTTTATTAAGTTCTGTTTAGTTTCAAACTAGATGGTGTTGATTGTTAGATGTCCGAAAAATATTATTATTATTTCATTGACCAGTATGTCTTGAATTGTCATTGTGTAGACTTTTATTCCATGACGCGTCAAAACATATAGCACATCATCGACAGCCTGTTGTTGCTGGACATAGGCCTCTCCTTAGAAAGGAGGTTTTGGCCTATTATACCACGGTGGCCAGACGGGTGGGTATAGGGTTTGATTCAAGCTTTCCTTCTCTTTGCAGTGCTGTTGTCCTGTTTACTTTGCTGCCTTAGTCGGATCTTAGGACACCCATGGGATAAATGGGTGTAGTAACACTCTGTATTCTTAATTTGTCACATATACTTGTAGCACATATTATTTAAAAAATTAGTGTTCTGTTCTTTACTTACTTTCTAACTTTACTTAAGTATTTCCTACGCTCCTCTCCGCTAAATATGCTTCGTGCAGTGTACGCGGATTTATTGAAAAAGGGTTACAAAGAATTTTCTTAACGTATGAATACATAGAGGACATACACATTTACATGTAAAAATTAGAGGCAAATACATTTATTGTATACAGTTGAATCATTTAGGGTTATTGATTAGGAAGAACCAAAATTATAGTATTTAGTAAGACGAATAATACATAGTTCGATCGACTTTCCCAATATACGCAGAAAATGTTTCGATTCTCGAAAGTATTATTTCGGGCAATTAAACATTTCAATGTTGTTATATTACTCGGAAATGTAAGAAACCATTTAAAAGAAAAGTTTAGAAATATTAAATGGACAATGTTAACTATTCAAAAGAAAATACTATGTATATATATATGTTTTTTTTATACAAACGCCCATGTACTCATGCACCTTGAACAGACGGGCCTGTTTGTGTAGTGGTTAGTGACCCTGACTACTAAACCGGGGGTGAGAATTTGAAATTAGAAAAATTTGAAACCATGACGGATTTGATTCTCACCGAAGTCAAATATTGTGTGATGAGCACGGTCATTTGTTCTGTGTCTGTACAGAATGTTACAGAAAAGTAACGAAGTTTATCTGACAAGTGGTTCATTTAGTTGTTTGCCCTATGAACAAACAGATTATCGCGGTAAATTCCTGACTTAAAACATTTAGAAATCAAACAGCCACAGAATGTTAAACTATAGTTATGACAAAATCAAATATCTATAAACAGAAAAATGTAATAAAACCACAACACATTTTAGTTTCCTTGTAAAGATTGATCATTTTTACTTATATCCTGATCCAGATTCATCAATCAAAATATATTAAACTTACCTGGAGGCGGTATACCAAAGATATTACTCACAGATATTATTGATGTAAACTAATGGTCGGAGATATTATTCATTCGCTTAGTAGGATGTGGCTATTGTTAGTCGAAAGTAGATTCGATTATAAACAATCCCACTTATTGGCAAAAGGCTTCATTTCAGTTCTTCATATACCTTGAAGGATATCTCTTTCTTCCTATAATTTTCTACAAAGACTACAGTAGAAGATTTTTCAAACACAGTGTACAATTGTCTTTACATAGACAAACATTAGATATATGGCCCTACAAGTGGCCCTACAATGTAAATGGAGAGCATTAGAAAAACAATTAACAGTAATAAAAATAAAGTTAACAGAAAGTAAATAATGTCTACTAAAATTAAAAGAAAGCAATATCTGTACATTTTACAAACATTTATTAAAATAACAAAACAGTCTTGAACCACTAAACAAACAGTTTATTGGTTAAAATACCTAAACGAAAAATCTTTCTACTTATTGCCGGAATAGAAAATAAATCTTAATGAGCACGATCCTCTCTTAATGCAATTCCAGCAGGCCGTGTCTGTTCCGTCGGGAAATTAGAGTATTGCTCCGAATATAATATCCTCTGTTCAGCATTATTGTTAATGTTCTCAAAATTTCATACTTAGGAAATTTATTTACTACCAGAATTTAATTCTTATCTAAACAGGTAATTATGAGAGTTTATTCAATTTGCTATTTGAATAATTTTTAATAAATAATACGCTTTAGAAATTGTTTAGATACTTTTGAAGTTTTAATTTTAGGGATTCGGGCATGCAATTATGATTCTTCAGTGTCTGTGAATTAACTTATGAGACTAGATCTGCCTAGGTATTACTATGCCGTCGTACTGGGCAGTCTTCTTCAATAATTGGCTATAATTTAATGTCCATTAAAATAAACATTTATCCACCCTTTCCGTAAGAAAACGATATGGTTTATTCAATTCTGTTTGAATTAAGGGAGCTGATTTCATGTTTTGATGATTTAAAGGAAAAAAATATTTGAATAGAACTGTATGTATGTGAATATATACTGTTTTAAATAAATTGTATATCTTGTTTTTACTTATTTAGCCAAGTGATAAAATTTCCGTTTACCTAAACATCTTTCTATAAACTTTAACAGTAACAAAATATATTTAAATCGTTTTAATCGTAAAAATCAAAAACCATATTGTTGTTCTTGTTACCGTTCATGTCAATTATTACGTACCGTTTCATATTTATGTTCTGCCCATTAGACTTGAACAAAAAACCAAATTCAAGCTTTGTTTTTGTGTATAAATTTACAATATCAGTTCTTAAACATGTTGGCATTAACGTTAATCGTATTTATTTTATCATCGGTTTTGATTTAACCAAGCTTTAGCAATTAAAAAAATAACTATATCAAAAGAACCTACCATTAAACTTAATCTAAATATATCACCAATTTTAATAAAAGATATCTCACGTCCTCGCCCGTAAATGCCAAAATACAAACGGATTAAGAGGTCTCAGGGACGCGCTACAGCAATTGCTTTAAAGGGATTAGCCCTACTGTCATGATGGGGCTGATAAGGTACGATTCAGGAGTGGGATGAGTAAAAATGGCAGAAAGTGACTCGCTGTATCTGAGATCGCTGTGGAATATTGGAAAAATATTATGACTTAGATTAAACTTATTCATATCTTTACTAACATAAGTTGAAGAGTTCGTAATATGTTTATTTAATTGAATACGCTTTTTGGACGTTCTTATATTCTGATTCAAAGACATCATGTTTTCATGAATAATATCTTTGAATAATAGTATTCTAAATAGCACCGGGACAACATTATAACGTTAGTATTTTTAGAAATGAAAAAGTTACAGTAAATATTTTTGTAAAACAAAATCACATTTTCCAAAAACAAATCCAAGGTTTTCATAACTATTATCGCGAACTAATGATCACGTTTCATTTTTTCATCGTTTAGAATATCAAACACCAGCTAGATCAATTTAGAATGCAGATTTTTGTCATACCAAACGACGGTATTGAATTTTCAAAATAACATTTTGCTTGTTTATAAATAAGTCTTTTGAAAACTACATCAACATAAACATTTCACTAAATAATCCAACATAAAGGCAGATCCAAAGACAAAGACATTTAGGGAATCGTTAACATAATAGTAGAGTCGAGACTCAATATGAAACTTCTATTTTTTTTTCTAACAGCCTTAAAGCGTTTCTCTCTGTGCAGTCCTCAATTATTGCAGTTGGGAGTAAAATCGTCTCAAACTAATCAGACGATAGAACGTTAACAAGATCACAGGGCAGTGAACTACCATTCAACATCAAATCATTTATCATTTGCAGCGTCGATGTTTAATTTCTCTTGAAACTTTTTACTTAAGCCATTATGTGCTATTCACCCTCGAACCAAATTTTAGACGGTAAATCTTCGTTTTTGTGTGCTTAATTCGTGCAGATTTAGATAACTTATTTGGCAATTACTTTATCGTATCTCTCAAGTTTATTATCTACATTATTTCTGTTAGACATTATTCAACAATATTATCAAAATTTGTTATAGATTGTGCAAAAACAACACCTACAAATTTAATCATTAAATGTCAAGTACTACTACCCAATAATACAAAGGGGATTAGATTTACAATTTTTTTACTACGGGCAAAAAAAAAATCCAAGTCACGATTACTTAGTCATAACTTATTTTTAGATTACACTTGGATTTATTTTTAGATTTTTAGATTACAGATGGAGTAATAAAAACTTTATCTACGGCAACTTTTCTTTAAGAACATTTAAAACAACTAAATATTTATTTCGCACTTAATATACTTACAAATGCAGATATTGATTTTAATTGTAGATAACAATGAATTGTAGTAAATGATAATAAAAGTAGTATTCGACGTCAAGTAATTAACAAAGAGTGGTTTGGCTTAGATATATTAACACTTAGATGATTGCACACACTAGCGCTTCACTTAGAACATTCCTTAAATCGATAAGAAAAAGTGAGACTGGAAACGCTGTATCGTATCACGAATATTTCGGTATCAACAATGCATATAAATATAAAATTGCACTAATTAAAATTACCGACAAAATTAGCAAGAAAATATTTAAAAAAAAACTGATACATAGTGGCCAATCTCATGACATAGAGAATTAACTTAGATATAAAACTTATGACGTTAGACTAATGAACTCTTAAAGCAAGCATACAACCTATGCGGGCTGACATTGGTTGTAGGCTTCTTTCTTATAGAATTGACCTAGTAATTTAACTTGAAAATAATTCATACATGTCATTTTTTAATTATAATGGAAAATTTTGTAATATTTCAAAACTGACAAGTGTCAGTTCTTTTTAAATACAAAGAGGCTGAAATTCCAAATTAAACTACTTATGTTTGTGAAATATCCAGAATTTTCCAGAATAATGTTGACTTATATTAACACATATGTACTAACGTTATATGTTCTGCAGCCGACGAGAACGGTTCCATATCGGAGACGATACCGGACCGGCCGGTCGAGCTGAAGAACTTCCCGAAACTTTGCGACCAAAGAAGAAAGTATCCTGTACTATACAAGCTAGAATTTCAAGTAAGTGAAACTATAAAATATCAATACCAAATAGCAGATATAAGATTTGTACCAAATATGAGAAAAATAAATTTTTGGCTAATTTTAAAAGGATAATTTGATGTTGACCCTTAATACCCGCATAGTGGCTGACGGGTCTACTGATGGTATGTGACTATCACCGCCTATCTACATGTTCGATGGGTATCTACAATTAGGGGACGAGGGAGAGGATTGATCTCCGATTATCTCACTCACTCGATAAAAAGCAGTGAAAAAAGTGTTTGGCACTGGTTTTTTTTTGTTACCTGAGGCCGTGGTATCACTCCTATATATGGCCTATAAGCCGAAACATGGCTCTCCCACGCAAAAGTATCAAAATCACACGAAACAGCCCACTATATATACTATCACACTCCTCGTAAACTTTCTCTCTTATAGACACACACATACATATATTATACAACTACTTACATGGATATAACCTCCTTGTACAAAATTAGTTTGAGCAAATTATAATAATCATTCTAAGTAAATTACTATTAATATTACTATTAATGATACTCTAAATAAACATCCATTCATTCATTCATTCGTTTTACGAGTATATATATATATATATATTATTTCTGTTCAAGTTTATATTCATTTTGCTTTATCCAATAATTTTTACAAATAAAAGTATTAGTATTGATATAAATTTTAAGAATAGTAATGTTCCAATAAGCATATTTGTAATATTTAAAGGGAGGTATTAACTTTTTAAAATTAGTAGTAAAACAAGTAATAGTTTTTTTTAGATGGAAATTAAAAAATATATCGATCAATTTTGTATTTGAACCAATGCTGCATTTTATTCAGACCCCTCAGAGTTCAATTTATAATGTATTTAGGCCATAACAATGAATCAGAGTACTTTATATTATTGAGTGAACAATGTAATCAAATCTTAATTATCTGCTTATACTATAAACAGTTCAATATTGAAGGGCCTTACATTCTACCTATATTTATTACCAAAAAAGATTTATAAACGGGTAAAGTAAGTACTTAAAGAAGAAAGGTTGATAGGAATCGGCAATTACAGTGACTTATTAGGTTCGTGTGGAATGAAACTCTTGGCTTTGCACCAAAAGTAGTAATTTTGAGTGCCACTGCTCTAATCTGTATCATTCTACTGGGCCATTTAAATTCACATATTTAAGAAACATTACGTAAACAATATTAACTTCCTAAGATAAAATTATTCCTTACAAGGGATAATATTGTTTTTGTGTCAAATAAAAGCAAAAAAGAGAAACATTTTATCACGAAAACAAAAAGAATAACCAGATCATAATTAAAAGGAAAAGAATCCGTGAATGAAACATGATTAAATTGACAAATTTCCGAGACAAGATCAAAGAGAATTATTACAAGACGTTGGAGTCGACTTATTACAAGATCTGTTGAACAAATAAATTGTAATTTAGATTTGTAATTTCCAAGAGGAAAAGCGGATTGTATCATGACTGTTGACTCATAATTCAGCTTCCCTTAAAAGAAAGTTCCGGAAAAAAACTGCTCCAACCTGTAAATGTAGTCCTAGTTGCCAAAGTCTTCATAATTTTGATGTGTGGAGTAAAATCCTTCATTTACAGCGAGAAGTTTTGAGGGTTTTTGTTTTAATCGTTTGTTTTTAAACTTTTATAATTCGAGGAAAATTTAATGCACTATTTCCAAGCTATCCTTAACAGCTTAAATATTTAAAAGCTTCTGATGCTCCTGAAGATAAGCCACTAAAACAACTTAAAGACTGTAGAGCTCTAAGTAAAAATTAAATCATTCGAGACGCTAAACTTATATAATAAACTATACAAATTGAATCGTAGTGGAAGAGTTTTACGGAATAGATTATGAAGTCGCAGCTTAATCCAGTTCCACGAGTTAACCTTTGGGTTGACTTTTAAAAAGAATAATTATTTCTTTGTAGAAAGCGCTGCTCATTTTCCCAGTGGACTGGCTGTTTTAAACTACCTGTTATTTTTCACTTTCGTTGTGTTTATTGTGGAAAAGTAACGAAGAAATTTAATTCATTTTGTGTTTATTAGTAACACAAATGTGTAATTCGAGCAGAGATTGTACTGGCTGAGTTTCTATTCCATTAAATTAGATGATGTTTTATATTGTGCTTTGATTCTCATAACTTAAACTAGCTTTTTATGTATAAATACCTAACCTAAATAATGCTGACGTGAAATGAAAACCCAGTAACTTGAAATATGACATTTTAAGAAAAGACGCGTTTAGGATTCAGTTGTTTTTTTTTTGTTGAGATTAAACTATTAAGTATATATCATAATATTTCTTTAATATTAATAAATAGGCAAAAACTTTAATTCTGCATACATAATTGTATATGTATTGAATAATAATTAAATTAGATAAAATGAATAATGAATAATTGTAAAGTATGAAAATAATAATTTAAATAATATCTTTTAAACTTAAACAAAGTAAGTAAAGGAAAAAAATCGACGATTATTTTCATGCAATCTTAAAAAACCAACAATTTAATCTTGTAAAGTATCAATATAATAGTTGTACTAAATTCGGGTGTTCTTCAGACGCGTCGCACGACAAGCAAGTACAGCCTCATGGACCCTCATGGACCATGGAGTGAGTTGCTTGTATACCCCTTCCCCCCTAGAATTAGGGAGGCCTCATCAACTAGGTAAATAAAAAAAGAAAGAAACGCTTAGTACTGGTTTTCTGTAAGGCAGTGGTATCTCTTAAGTCGAGACGGTCCAAATGTACTGATGCGTAGCTCTCCTACACTAGGATAGGAAAAGTGAAGTACATGTAATCGAGAGTATATAAACATTTACAATATAACTAGCTTTTGTAGAGATAACTAGATTACCGCGATAATCGACATAGCCACGGGCTTATGTCGTTGATTATTTCTGGGATAAGAACTATCCCAGAAATAATCAATGTCCTTTCGCGGAACTCGAACTACCTCTATGCCAAATTTCATCTAAATCGGGCCTGCGGTTCAAGCGTGAAGAGGTAACAGACAGACAGATAGATAGACAAACAGACACACTTTCGTATTATAATATTAGTATGGATCGGATAGGTCATACAAGGGAAAAAAATCTTACACCCACTTATGCTAATGATGAAAAAGGCTGTAAAGCATTGTTTTAGTAATATGTAACAGCACATAAGCCAATGGCTGTTCAATTAGTATTCTAAGCAAAGCAAATTACCACTAATTGTCTAATAAACTTACCTCGTTAAGTAATATACAGTGACAGGTTGGCGCCTCCCCGTCCAATCCTCTAGACATAAAATATCTGGGTTAAGCATTCCTTGCTACGACCTACTTGTGTAGTTTTATTTAGTGCACCATCTACAACTTTTGCTTTGTCCATGCTGCATTTTAATATGTTCAACACTAACACACACTTATTTATTTATTTATTTATTAAGGTTTACCAACAATGTATGCGTATGTTACAAGTTTTGATGTAAACAACATCAAAACTTGTAACATACGCATACTAAAGAAAATCAATTAACAATGTAACAATTACTTATAGGTAAACACCGCTTTTGTAAAAATTATACATACATTGAAGATTAAAATCATAGACTCAAACATTAATTTCAAACTACGTACATGCAGTTTACATTAAATTAAATCAAATTTATTGGTGCTATTAATAGTCAATATTACTATTAATTGGGGAGTTTCCATGGTAAATGCTCGTCAAGATTGGTTAGGGCGGTGAAATATTGATACCTTTACCGTATGGAGAATGTACTGTTATACCCCGACTAGGTCAGGTGATCATCTGGCGAATCACAGCCTATCAGTTAATTTTGAGAAACTAGCCAAAACTGTACTATTCGACTCGAGAACTTTCATTGCGAGATACAGAATCAGTAAGTACAACGTATGTATTTAATAACTTACCTAGTTCGGATACATTTCGGTAGATGACGTTGAAGTAATTTTTTGCTGTATGTGGATTCTAGTAAGTGTTTATTATATTTCACAAGTTTTAAAATATTTAATTTAGGTACCTAAAACTGTAACACGCCTTCAGCAAGGTAGGATATACTACATTTTGCTACTAGGTGAAAATAAATAAAATATTTTTTTTATTTTTATTTAATGGTTTATTAAATACACAATTTCAAGAAAACCAATTCAACGGCCAGTAGGCAACTCTCTGAAAATAAGACAATCCCCTATATATATTTAATATAATAAATATTTATCCTTGAAGACAGGCTATTACTTTTACTAGATAGCTTTATAAATTAATATTAATTAGTAAATTTCAAGACAACATTATGATATAAACTAAAATATTACAACGTACTTCGATAGTCAAATCAACAAGTCAACAATCAAGATACATAATGCACGTACATTTATTAATAATTAAAAGACCATATTAGTTTATATTACTTAAAGTATTTAGTAGGAAGTATTTCGTTTTCTAACTTCAAATTAAATCATAAAAAAGTCTATAACCTTTTGTTCATGGTGTTTTGGTTTCATGCTTTGCATTTACTTTTTGACTATTTATATATATTCCTAAGTTTCATACACAAAGTATTTATATAATATATATAACAAAGTATATAAGTATTCTATCAATCAATCTAGTTTTCATAGTACAAGCTCTGCTTAGTTTGAAACTAGATGGCGTTGTGTGTCAAAAAAATAGTATATGCACGTATACTGCCGCAATACATACTGTTTACCAAAAATACGCAATTTACATTTATTAGACAGACTTGAAAATGATGGTAAAAACTTCTTTTTGGTGCCAAAAGTACATCAACTTTTAGTACTTCATAACATATTGAGATGCGGCTGCCATGTGTACGTCGAGCTTCCAAACTTTTCCAATATAAATCCAAACGATAAAAATATAATAGGCAAAAAAAGTCATGACGTCATAACTTCTGTTACCTTTATCGGAACATCAAAAGAGTGATGTTTTCATTCTACCGTCAAAAGTCACATCGTCAACATCCGATGTAAGGAAATTCCTTAAAGATAATAAACGAAATAAAATGATGTATCTTCCTTTCGAAAACTTCCATTTAATTTTATGTACCTGCGACTTAAATTTCCATGTTAAAATATGTCGTGATATATGATATTTAAATGGAGATAAGAATGATGAGGTATACAGGTGCTAGGATAATAACTTCTTTCAGTATTTTTCTTCTACACCCCAGAAATACTTCACTTGTATACTGAATCCATTATAAAAGGTTGAGTAATTAACGTGTTACAGTGTAAATAAACAAATAACCAAAGAAGCTGACCGTAAAATGTATAAATTTTTAAGAAACGTAAAGAGACCGGTATCAGCCGTTGCCTTGACGCCACAAGACCCATTGCTCCTTAAAAAGGCCTTCTGGACAAAAACACGAAGTCCGAATTCTTGAATAACTATCTCATAGATTTTTGGTTAGGTCAATTAGGAGCGTACTTCCATTAGTATACCGCCAATGGACGGCGGCCGACTTAGGCCCTCATACATAAATAGGAAAAGCAGATTAATGATAAACGACTTAGGAGAACTACTAGTAAATTTTGTTAAACCCTGGCAAAATAACAAAACACATGCTCAAAACATTTCAAATATTGAACTTTATTAATGAGTTGCGAGAGTGTTTATTTATTTAAATGTCTTTTTAAAATAAGCCATGTGTTTATTAATGTTTGTTGAGGAAATACAAGAAGATATAATGAATACTTCAAGTAGTTTAATAGCTAAGAGCTCATGTGTTTGATTTTTAATGGATTTGGTAAATAAAACATTTTTACACTTCTAAAGTTTAAAAAAAATGACGCTTTAAACTGTTAGTAGGCTGTTATTGTTAGTTATAAATACGTAGGGATTATGTTACCAGCTGATTGTTTTCCTTGTCTCTTTTCGCGGGTATCTACTTCTTGTGATGAGAGCTTTAATAAAATACAAAACATTATTATTAATGTAATGAAAGTGCTTCTTTTATATTCTCTTTGCTTTCTTTTTTATCTTACCACAATAGCTGTTGTCCTGTATGTGTTACTTATAAAGGTGACTTACATTTGTTTCAATTAACAACAACATTTCATAAAACTCATGTAGACACGGTAAACGAAATATCTGGTTTAAGTTTACTCCGTGGTTAACATTCAAACTATTTTCGTGTGTACAATACAATAAATACACACATACATATAGGTTATTGACAGTTGCTTGAGAACATAACTGAAACAGATTTTGTTAAAATCTAAAATGTTGTTAGAATCTAAAATCATAACAAAGGACAGAAAAGTTCAGAAATAAAAAGCAAAATTTTTGTTTGAGATTCGCAACATTACTTTCGTATTCTGAAGTGAGTGAGTGAAAAGGGTTAATGTATTTTATTTAAATATGAATATTTCTGTTCCAGACTGCGGTCAAAGTGGAGACGCACTCGTGTCGACACGCGACGAAGAAAACCAATTCACATAAAAACCAGAATCAAAAAGTCATACCTTGTGAGTATTACTTAGAATATATCTACTTTTATATCTATAAACTATCTATCAATAAGTCCATAGTCTTGACTACTTTAACACCTTTATGTATATATCGAATTAACTCGATCACGTATAACATATTAAATAGCTTCGAACTGCTGATGTTTCGACCAGGTTACACTGACTGTAATTATAGGCTGATTGACTCAGTTCAGAAGTGTACAACATACGCTTGCTAATTGAATGCGTGAGGTTTAATTAGCTTGTTAAAATGTGCGGGTATGGTTGATATTTTCTTCTCGCCATATTATTTAGTGTGCAACGGTAGCTATATTTAAAATAGTAACCTTGCCAAAGCTTGAGGTAAAATACTTATTACGTGGTTGCATTCATTTTGGTAAACACATATTATTAAATAGTCGCTTTATATCGTCATTTCTACTGTTTGGTCTCTACGCATTTCTCACAGTAGATAGTCTAGTAAAATTAGCAATATTCTGCAGGCAGAGCAGATGCAAGGACTTGCCTCAAAGATTTGACAGTATGGAAAACTCGTGACGTTTGTCAAAATAGTAACAAGCGGCCTATTGCTGTTGAACTATCAAACTCATACTTAGGTATTCGTTTAATATTCTTATACTTAAATTACCTCCTATTGAACAAGTATATTCAAAATAATAGATCAGTTGACTAAAGGAAGATAAATATACGAGTACAACTTAAAAAGTCACTCTGCATAACAAATTTACTCCACAGCTATCTGCTTAATATTTATGAATTTTTCCTACCAGACAGACAAATTTCTTTTCGTGTTTAATAATGTGAGAGTGATTTTTCGTATCTGGCAATTTCAGTAAAATAAATGCAAATTGTTCAAAACAAATTTTCGAGTATAAGATTTTATATTTACATTGAAATTTTAGTAAAACTCATAATGTTATTGCTGTAAAGCAAGATTCATTTTTCACTAGTTTTTTTTTTTATGGCATAGGTAGCAAAGAAACACGTAGGACACCTGTGACTCTAGACTTTGGAGAGACACGAGTGTTGCCACCCACTTAGTTGCAACCCTTGATTTTAATAATAGGTTGTACGATATACCTGCTTAGGTTTACGTTTACACTAGTTTCATGTGCACAGTATAAGCTAACAATCAACTATAAAATTGCCTAACAATCAAAAATACAAAGAGACGAGAAGGTTTTGGTTTACTATGTAACGCTGACCATGCGGGTTAGTATAGGGTTTGTTTCAAGTTTTTCTTCTCTTTGAATGTTGTTGTCCTGCGTAGTTTGCGTCCTTAGTCGGCTTTTACGACACCCAAGAGATGAATAGGGGTAGTGATACTCCGTATTCTTAATCCATCACCACATGGTCATTTTATTTACACTACATTAAGTTTTTTTAACCCGTCTTGCGTAGATTAGAAGGAAAGTGACATAGATTTGATCAGTTGCGGGAACTGTTGTATTTGAAATATTAATACTCTCAGGTTTGAAAGGTACTTTTAATTACTTAAATATAAGTAATTTTCTGTGACTTACGCCCTCCTTAAAATGTAGTTATTATGAGTATTCCAAAATTGAATGGAGTTCGAAAAGGGAAATAAGTGATTCGACTGTGTCTTGAAGTTTAAATTATTAGCCGAGCCTTTCAGGTGTCAAAGAATCCCAGTGTATATAAGACTTTAACAACTTTCTAGCAATTGACACAAGCATTTTATTTGGCACTTTCACATAAAGATTGCTATAAAAGTGAAATCTTTTTTACGATTGAAGTCGTGGCCTAGAACATTAAACTTAGATTTGAATACATTCTCTTTTGAGTGACGTTCTTTGTGACAATCGTTCGAGAACATTCTTTTAATGTTACATAGTTTGGAGCTTGATGCGTTCCTTTTTTAAACCGAGAAAATTCTATTATAAAAAATGGGATGGCATTTTTCTCTTAATTTTAATAATTTGCGAAAAGCTATTTTATAGACGTGGAAGATTTCATGACAATCATTTAAAATAAGATTTACTTTACAAATCTCTTGGTTTCTATTTATTTTTGATAGTTTATGTAGTTGGCTTGTACTTGCAGATATTGTCAACCTATTCTAGTATTCCTCAAGAACAATTCCTTAATTTTACATAATATATTCTGTTTCCCTCACAACCCGAATGCAAAATTGGATAATAATTGGATCATGGTGTGAAAGCTAACAAACAAACCGCAAGCCCAACGCTAATTCTAGTTATGTCCAAAGGCCGGCAGCACACTTATGTCTCTTGAGTTACCGGCGTCCATAGACGGCGGTAATCACTTACCACTAGCCCCTCTATACCGTGACAAAGAGAAAAAAACTTTTATTTAGTGTAGTAGATTGTCGTTCTGAGTCTGGGTGTTCCTTGTGTCCGTTTCATGCATTTTTGTAAAGTCCCCCGCGATACAGGATATTTTCCTAGTGCGGGAGTTGTGTCTTTAAAAAACATGACTTTTGAACCTGGCAACACTTATCTTTCACCATTTTTTTTATATAAAATAGGGTATCACTAGAATATTTCAACGTGCACTCATTATAGTGACGCCAATTTGTCCTCAAGCACAAAGGCTGTTAGGTTTAAAAGGAAATTCAGGGAAACAACTTGGTTGCACAAAAGCCTCGTTGCCCGCGCCGCGCCTTTGTTGTTACGTGATATTGTTTCGTTAGAAACATCAGATTGTTCTTAAAAGGTAGTGAAATACATACTTACTGTTAGTTAAAGTGAAAATCTGAAAATTTTATAAAAAGTTATTAAAACATGATCTTTAGAATTTCTTCCTCCGAGCCTTTTTCCCAAACTAGGTTAGGGTCGGCTTTAAGTCTACTGCGATACGGCTGAACTTTGATTTTTAACGCGAGTGACTGCCATCAGGCCTAAACAACCCAAGTAGTCGATACTGAAATTCTGTAAAACTGTTTTTGGACTTTTTAGGTCTCCAACTACCCATTTCGTATGGCATCCAGGACCGATGGCTTAACGTGGTCTCCGAAGCATGGAGGGGTCTCAATGTGTTAAAAAATGGTCACCCACCAAAGACTGACCTGGCTAAGATTGCTTAACTTTTGCAATTTATTAACCTAATCGGTTACCACTTAGCCTTGAAACCCCATGATCTTTAGAATCGTTGACTTAAATTTTATTGCTATTAAACTTAAGAACGCTTCTAAACATGTAATACAATTAGTTGCGTACACTAAGTTCGGGTTACATTGGGTCTGATTGGGCACTAGTTCGGATTACTTTAGCTTCTTGTTACACCAAGAGAGATTTAACTTTTCTGGCTAGAACTTCCAATAACATCAAGCGTTTAAATTACAGAAACAAAGTTGAAACACTGATTAGAAATTACTCTACGGCTAATGTAACCCCAATTTAAGATATTTGATCGACCTGTTTTTAAATTGCCAACACACTTCTTGAGTATTAGACAATCAAATACAAAATTCAATTCAATTCGTAATTAGATTTGTAGTTATATATTTATCAATAAAAAATTCTTGAGATTATTAAACCATTTACCAACAATAGCCTGTTAATGACATTTTCTGGGGTGCCTACAATTTATTTTATTACCTGTATGTCAGACGTGAACATGACTTTTCTGAAAATAAGAACAAATATACATCATCATCATCATCATCATTAGTTCGCATCGCAGTCCACTGCTGGAACTAGGTCTCTCCAAAAACAATAATAACAATAATACATTTAATATACAGCAAAACGAATCCAGGGTATGATATTGGTGAGGTTGTCCGCTGTGGTCTGGTCTGGTCTGGTGTAAAAGATGCACCTATAAGCCGACTAAACATTTTCTGCAGTTTCACCGACGTTTGATGTGACTACTCCATGTTAAAAGGTCGTAGTGTAGTAGCGTTTGTTTTATAAGCAATATTGTTCCTCATTTAATACTCATTCCAATGTTATGTACTTTCAGCCTGTGTTATCCCACTTCAGGGAAATGGCCTCCCTCTCTCCAGTCTTTTCGGAATCCCTGTAGATACTGGTGGCCAGTCTTTTCGGAATCCCTGTAGATACTCCCGTTATCGTCCCTTCGGAGGTTGCTGTTTAGCACCTTGTGTCACCCAAGTTATTGCCAAAAGATCGAGTACAAAGAGAATTATTCAAATCTGACTAATAATTCCAGTGATTTAGATTTAGAATTTAAAGATACAGAAAACTATTATATTCGTCTAGAATTTGGATGATGTGTGCTGTCATTTACATCTTATTTCCTACCGTCGCCATCCAATATACTTTTTTAAGATTAAGCGTATTGCAGGCATTAATATTGCAACGGTGATAAATGTGAAAATAATAATACATACAAAGTTAAATTATCAGGTATTTCTGACATAAATTACTAAAACAATTAATTGAATTGTGATTTAAATAGTACGGCTATTTAACTGAATAATGCCTTTATTCAGTATTGTTTTTCAATCATGATATTATGAGAAAATAAAATTTCAATTTAAATAGGAATAAGAGATTTAAAGTCAACATTTGACATCAATTATTCCTGTCATAAAGTTTAAATATATAATTTGATTTTAAGGCCGCTTCAAGTTAAGATATGTAGAATGAATGTTCCGAAGAAGATGGAACAATTTAGAATCTTTTATGAGATTCTACAAGTTTCCAGATGAGTGTCGAACTTCACGAACCTTCTTTAACTTTCTAAGAGATCAGCCCGGTCTATGCACATATACCTGCCGCGATCCAGTGTAGAAACCTTTTAGTTCTGGAATAAGATGATAAAACAACCGCGAGGAGTAGCTAATATAGGGTAACATCAGTAAGAAATTGTTGACTATTGCGGAGTATATTTATTACATTACATTCCAATACATACTTGTAATAGATTGGCTAATAAAATAGAAGATTGAGGCGTTTAGCCTTTATTGTATCTCCCTATCAATTCTATTGTACTGGCATTCCGTGACGTCAAAATCGGTTTCAAATGTTGGTAAATTTATTTTAGGTTACACAACTACAGGCTGAATAGATTAAAACATGAATCGGTCCAAGAGTTGTTGGTAAATCGTAAAAAAACTATTTGACGTTTGATTACAATTTGTTAGTATACCATAATAAAGAGAACTAAATTGGACCGTAATTCACTTAGTTCCTATATTAGTTATAACAGTTATTCGAAGGTAGGAAGAAATCCGTCTGTCCGTGTGGTAACGGATGAAGAATACGGAGTATCACCATTTAAATCTCTCTGGCCAGCCACACATCAACAGACTTTAATAGTCCACTGCTGGACATAGGCCCCTCCTTAAAAAGGAGGTTTTGGCCTACTATACCAAGCTGGCCAGACGGGTCGGCATAGGATTTGTGTCAAGTTTTCCTTCTCTTCTGCAATGTTGTTCTCTTGCGTAGTTTGCTCCCTTAGTCGGCTCTTACGACACCTGAATGAATGATGAATGGAGGTGGTGTCACTCAGTATTCTTAATCCGTCACGAACGAACTATTATAAGCTGTTGATGATGAGCAAAGAAACTGTTTTAATTTTTAAAATAAAAACCAAGCTCGTCACTATCTAACACATAAAGGAAAATTTAATCGATTGCCAAATAGAGAAGATAGATACTGTTTGGCCTTTGCCTATTTTACGTAGATGTTATATAAAATACTCTACTTCAGTTTTGTCTCATGGTATTCACTTATTTTACTCATGTTTGCTCTTATCCTGAGAACCCCTTATTCATTTTCCGGGTCGGACAAATTGTTATTCACAGTTGTAAAAGGGTTTCTGAAAATATGACCTTAGACGGCAATAAGTTTATGCCTGAATCATGGGGTTAAAAAAATTACATGCAAAATCTACGGTTATAAAAAGGCAAACAAAAAAAAACTATTACACATAGGAGCATAGTCGAATTTGCGAGTTCAAATTTAAATACGGAAAAAGGTTCAGTAATTTGTAATCCATTACAATTCTAAAACTAAATTTTACTTACAAATTAATGTTACTCCTTCTTTGAATATTATCCAAACAAACATTCAAGTACATCGAGTAACCGCAGCGTGTGCGACAATGTGATTGCGCGGATGGGTTCACCGTTCACTTATTATGTACATACATACTTAAATAGTCGATCTTGGTACATAAAAAAATTTGCTCTACACACATTCTGGTCTATATTTAGGCTTAGTATTTATAAAGTAAAGTATTATATTATTTCAATTGTCTTTGCAATTCACTCGATCGGTTCTGTTATAAAAAAACATAGCAAGACAAAACTCTCAAATGAAGAATAATAATAGAGCAAAAGCTAAGAAGGAGATAAGAACTGAATTAAAACTCCACGGGTCATATCGCGTCTATAAAAAACAAAGGCATATTTATTTTAGTTGTTTCTTTAGGCTCGAAGGACCATTTATTTAATGGTTCTCCCTTTGTTTCTAACGCAAATTATGATGAATATTCTGTTGCTTTTACAAAAGTGGTAATTGTGCTTTTGTTTACAGATGACTACAACAGGGTGGTGCTAGAAACTGTGGACCGAGAGCCAGACTCCGACTATATTAATGCTTCCTATATAGATGTGAGTATGGATTTTTTTGTTTACAGCGAAATGAAGTAGAGTAAAATAGTATTTCTCAGTGGTCATGTTGAGAAGACATTTATCCAACTATCTTATTATATAGATATTTAAAGGGTAAATGTGTACATATTACTAACAGCACTAGTCATTTAAATTGTTTGCTTTAACTTTAACGTATAATAAGCGACCAGTCTGCATTTTAATCCTCTCACGCTGAGGGTTATGCACACAGGCTTAGATGTCCACTAAGCGAAAAAAAATTCAAAATTTCATCTCTAAGATGGTAAAATGAAGTTAGGAACACGAAATAATAAATATAATTACCTGAGCAAAGCCGAGGGAAATAGATGGTTTTTCAATAAAATTCAAACAATGTAAGTAAACCTACATGATCAACACAGTGATTCATGAAAATGTTGACACTTTCAGTGGAGACAAACTCAATAGCGTAACCTCCTATTATAAAATTTGTACAGTCGAAATTGTAAACATAGTGTCCAAACGTTGGCCACTAAGTTTCTTTTCGCTGTCGCTGTCACTATAAACGATAGATGATAACATTGTTCCGTCTGTTTTATTTGTTTTGTAGTGTGGTACTCTATCTAGACATGGAATCATATGTCTAGATTAATCAAGAGTTGCAAATGGAAATTTAGGACTCGTCAATTTAGCTATTCTGAGGGAATAATAATGATACACTTTGTACGTACGAAACTGTAATACAATATAATTAAAATCGATTATCCAGTCAAAGTATCAAATTCATAATCATATAATTGTTGCTTTACCGAAATTTAAAGTGAGGCTCCTTGTTAATTGAGTGAAGCAGCTTGTTACCATTGTTAGATAAAATAATTTCTCCGCTGAATTTGGGAATTAATGTGAATTATAACACCGTACAATTTCCAGAAATTTAAACATAGCGTATCACAATGCCTAAATGTTAATTAATCTTAGGTGGAAGAGAAAATTTTGCACTTATTAGATGTTGTGACTGAAAGGTTTGGTCATATTTCAGGGTAGTAATAGAGCAATCCACCTTAAAAAAAACTCTTACTTTTTAAATGTATGTTCAGGATCTGCCTAAATTTAATAAACCCAAATAAACTAATTTATGAGGAACCGAGCTCCACTACACACCGCAAGGTTTTATCAGATCATTGTTACCAAGCTTTATATTTTGGTCTTTTCAAGACGAATTGTGTGAACTCACATTTGAGGGATAAACTAGTAGCCACTGAAGTTCCATTATCCACCATCATCACATTAGTTTCAAGATACTAAATTATAATATTGTCACCCAAAATACATCATAGTTACAAAGTTTTAATACAATACACAAAAATTATAAGCAAGTTAAAATAAATTGCCAAGTTTTCTTTACATAGTTACATAGTTATTTATTTACAAGTGAAGCTTTAAACAGCGTGTTTAATAGTGACAAACGTCAATCTTTTGAATTTATTATATGATCTGAAAATCCCCTAAGGTTTTGAGGTGGTTATTTACTACTGCTATTATTTAGGCCTATCTCTAAATTGTTACAAATGCCATACTACATAAAAAACTCAGTCACGAATTTGGCATTTCAAAAAAGTGTTCGTTCGTCTTAAATTCGATCACGTACGCACATAATGACTGCACGAATTGCTGGCGCAATGTGCGTAGACGGTTGAAAAAGTCCAAATCAAGTGAATGGACCTTCACTTGAAGTAGATATTGTGCTCAATTGAAACCGATTCAAAGACTTCTCAATAAGTGTCCAGACTGGCCAATTTTGGGACAAAGAAAAATAGTTGGATTAGGCTGTGAATACATCTCGTGTCTATAAGACCCATCATTTTCTTACCTTTTCAAGTACGTTCTGTTAGTACTATTTTTTTTATTAATTGGATCTATTAACGCAAAATAGCATCAACTGTCACAGTGAACGTTTTGACAAACATATACTTTTGCTCTAATTTTGATTACAACTTATTTTTTAATATTCTGGAAGAGTTAATTTAAAATACGCTGTATAATAATTTGTCCCTGTCTTACCCTTCTTGAGATTTTGTAGCTTGTCTTTATTGATATATTGATTAATACCAATATAAGACTATACCAAGGGTGCAAAACTACATCCTGAAACAAATAACCAATGCACCATGGTTCATCACAACAAAGGAAATACACGAAATCCGAAACATGCCCATGGTTAAAGAAGTAATCAACAGCCATGGCTCCCCCTACAAGTCACGACATCAAAAACACCCAAACCAGATTTCAGGACAGCTCACTATTCAAGAGACAGCTCGTCGACTGAAAAAGCGACGAGACTTATTTGATGAGTATAGTTGCTAATTGGCTGACTATATAAAATAGAGGGTGGGCTCCACTGGCAGTTACAATATTGGAAGAAGGTGTATTTAAAAAGTTCTCTTAATACTCAACTCTGGGTTTGGTTTGTAACTGTTTTAGTTTTAAATACGGTATATTAAGTTTAAAAATATTAAAATTCTAATTATTCAAACGTAAACGTACATTTGTGTTGGAAAAAAATGTACTTTTGTTGGCTAGGATTAGTTTTTACGAATTCACGGGGACATATCTGTTGATATCTTTTCTGTGAAATCCGTTAAATAAAAGTCAATCTTACGGTAATATATGGAACAAGCATTATAATTTTCTAAATGGTTAGTAATACAATGAAAATAAAATTGAACAACTGTTAATTTTTTTTCTAAATGTTGGTTTACAATGGTTGGTTTTTGCTAGACCGAATAGATTTATCTTTATTGTACCATCTGGAAGTCTCTAACACACATTTACATCTATATCCTCGAAGGGGTAAACAGAGGCAAATGAAAGGTAATATTAATCGCGCTTACATAATAGGGTGCAAGCCTATAGCCCTCAGGCAACTTTAGGAATTAACTGGGCAAATTCGAAGTTCAATTTGTAACGATAAATTGGTAAGATGTGAAACCGATGATAGGAAAGGGATATTGCTTATACTGATGGATTGAGAAGTATGAGAAATAACTCTAGGTCAACGTCGTATCGTACAGTAATTTTAGCGTAATTGTCGGTTATCGCTAAAGAAGCCTATGTCTTTCCTCAAGAATAAGAGTATCTCCATACTAAATTTCATCTAAATCGGTTCAGCGGCTATTGTTTCCCCAAGTAATTTTTACATGGGGAGTTTACACCCCCTGAAAAGGGGGGTGGAAGTTTACATGGGGAATCAATAGCCGCTGAACCGATTTAGATGAAATCTGGGATGGATGGGATCTGGAAAGGATGATTTCTTGGATAAAAGCTACCCTATGTCCTTGCCCAAGACTCAGACTATCTCTATGCCAAATTTCATCTAAATCGGTTTAGCGGCTTAAGCGTGAAGAGGTAACAGACAGACAGACACACTTTCGCATTTATAATATTAGTATAGATTTCAAAAAAAATATTTATTCTAAAAAAAAACATAACTTAAAGGTTTAAATACTGATATTTAATTTTAAAAAAAACGTGAAAATTATTGCATTAAATGTCAAATTCAACTAAAAAACAATTTAACATTTGCCTATTGCACTTTCAGCTGATTTAATACAGGGCTAACGTCCGACGACCGTTGTTGTACAATTTATGTTTGTAACCCTGAGGATGAACAAATAGGCAGAGTGCAAATAAACAGGGTCTGTGCAGATGGCATAACTGATTTAAAACTACCATCCGACTTCGTAGAAAAATGAACGCTAATTGCAAGAGGACTTTCCTGCAGTTCAAATGTACTCTGAATTACACAGCAAATAGCTACTTCCTCGATAGCAATCCAATGAGAATAAGTGAAATCTCACAAACATACCGAATCTAGCTATTACCCGCGGCTTCATTTTTGATTATTTCTTATTACGTGCTTCTTACTTTGAAAATGACAAACTTCCATACAACAGTTCCCCCTTATTTTACCCCCTGACGGGTGAACTTTCCATAAATTCTGTTTTCGTGTGTGCTTACAGCAAAAAAGGATCTTCTGCCAAAATTTCAACTTTGTAGCCCCAGCGGTTTAGCCTCTGCGTTGATGAATCAATTTATAAGTCTGAGCAAGAGATTATATATTATATTATGTGTACAGATTACTATTTCAGATATAAACAAAAATAATTAGATCGTGCTTAGCCATACAGTCTAAGATTTACCTACTGTTTTCTATCTCAATCACTTTTTATATGAAAACTATTTTTAAATTGTTATCATATTTTCGAACACTTCCCTTCATACCAACATTTTCTAACAGGACAAACAGCGTAAACAGGACAGGCCTAGTGTAGTCACAGTATGACACACAATATTGTATGCGCTATTTGGCAAAAAACTATTTTTTAAGATTACAAACAAAACAAAAATAGTTAGCGTGATATGTGCACCCAGACTGAAATAATGTGCTCATTGCATTCCGCAAGTGATTTTCATCACATTCTTACAGTTTTTCCAATTTTATTTGAATCGGCGCAGTGAGTTTTCTTTTGCATTTTTGCCTATATCACTTGACAGATTACTTACTTACTACCTCTGTAACCATATTGTTGCGCCATAGGATTGAGACTAGGCATGCCTGTCCATTTTTTATTTAATTTTTTCGTACGTTACGTAGGTTAGGGTTACTACTTACTCACGCGTTGTTGCCAATAAGCTGTTTTTAGACGATGCACAAAGACCCTATTTCTCCTATTTAGCAGTAAATCTAGTAATTATTATATTATATAAAGCTACTATTTCCTTAATCAAAAAATACTAGATTTACTGTTAAACAGCGTCTAACCTACCTACCTAGCAACCCTTACCTATGTAAAAATCGATCAATAAATCACAATTCACTATGATTTTGTCCCATGTCTAATTGAGACGCATTGAGATTATGATTCTCAATTTCGATATTTACAGTGCCATCTAGTGTCGAAAAACGTAAGATTACATAAAAGTTATTAACCGACTAGTTTTTTTTAATTGTATACCCCGCT